AGGGACCACGAGCCAGAACCTGGTCCCCTCAGAGAGGCACGAGGAGCAATGGACTATAGAAACCCTCCCTTATGGTTGGGAGCATTCTATGTCTGCCTATATTTTGCCAGACTTCCTCGGCCTATTGCGCCGAGGAAGCATTTTTAGAAGACAAAATAATTTTTTAGAATTTTTTTTCTTGCGCACAGGGGTGTAAATCTCCTCAGGACCCCTTAGGAGCTTAAGGGTTAGTGATCTTGTACTAAAGATCACCCTACGTACTAACCCTTGAATAATTTTAGATATCAAAGTTTATGATCATTTTATATGCCATAAATTATTATTGATTTTTCTTATACATTTATTGTTATTCTGATGAAGAACCAGCATCAATTATTAGTGCTAGTGACGTAACAGTTTCTTAGCGACTGTACCCCCCCCCCTTTTGTGAGAGTGAATTTGCCTCTTAATCTGATCATGATATACAGTCTTATTAATACTTCACATTATACTATTATTTCTTAACACTTTGACGTTCTGGGTGCGCATGCGCCGCACTACCCCTGGTGGGTTTGAGCATTCAGCGGGAGCGCGCGGTAATTCTGAAAGTGTATACTCTATTCAACTTTGTTACCTCAATTCTCGTCCTAGGTTTTTCAATTTGGTATCATTGTATTCGCAATAGAATTCTCTACAGGATTAAAGGCATATAAAGTCCAAATGCCCGGCATACCATCCGCAACAGAGAAAGCGAGAGCGTGTTACCCGGGAGCATGCAAGACCGATAAAATGTGTACACTCTTTTCACTTTGGTCCCCTCAATTCTCGTCCTAGGTCTTTCATTTTGGCATCAATGTGTTCGCAATAGAATTCCCAACGGGAGTATATGCATATAATGTCAAAAACAGCGGCGCGCTCCATCCGCCGACAAGATGAAAGTTAGCAGAAAGAGAGCGCTGTGCCACCCTAAGTTGCCTCTCATTATAATAGAGCGCGGTCATATCAAAATGTGTATACTCTTTTCAACTTTGTTATCTCAATTCTCGTCCTAGGTTTTTCAATTTGGTATCAATGTGTTCCAATAGATTCTCTACAGGACTAAATGCATATAAAGCCCAAAAGCCGGGCGAGAAAGTGAGAGCATGTTACCTGGAAGTGCGCAAGAGCAATAAAATGTGTACACGCTCTTCACTTTGGACATCTCAATTCTTGTCCTAGGTCTTTCATTTTGGTATCACTGTGTTCGCAATAAAATTCCCTACAGGAGTATATGCAAATATAAAGTCCAAAAACCCGGCATCCCACCCACAGCAGAGAACGTGACGGAGCGTTACCGCAGTTAGCACTAATAAAGAGCAATAAAATAGGTATACTCTTTTCAACTTTGTTACCTCAATTCTGCTCCTAGGTCTTTCATTTTGGTATCAATGTATTCACAATGAAATTCCCTACAGGTGTATATGCATATAATGTCCAAAACCATGGCACCCTCCTCCCGAAGCAGCCGCCAATTTGCCGCCACCGACCACGCAATGCTGCATCGTTACCGGACTATCCTCTAGTAAACGAACAACGCAATGCTGAGTCGTTACCGAGCCAAAGTGTTAAGATCCATAGGCACTAATTCATGGACTTCATTTCAATACACTTGCTCTATTTAGTTTTACACTTTTCACAAAAAGTGGTGGTCCTTCACAGCTATCGAATGTAATGATTATTTCTATTAATATTCTGAATCAGATTTTCCCACAAACGTATTTGTGATATATAACAAAATAGAGCATAATAACATACTTACTCATTATTATTTGTCTTATTATGTATTACTCAGCAGTGCTATAAAGGCACCAGATGCATATCCACTTTGTGGACCTCTTACTACTTACTACTTCTTTGTGCATCAGACAGGTGCTTCCATCTCTCTATTACTGCATTATTCATCAGTTCCAGTTAATAGGAGCCGTTCTCTTTATCAACAAAACGTTCTTCTTATTAAAAAATTTGTTTAAAATCAATTTCTGAAAATATTTTGATGAAAGTTTGTTGGAGACTTGTGTAAAATTTTTAAGGAATTTTTACATAATTTGAATATTTTTCGTTTCCTGGCCTTTTATGCTGAGCAGCATAAGGGTTATTCTCTAGACCAAGAGATAATCCACCCTAGATTGGAAATATGCAAATGTCACCCCTATTTTCAAAAAAGGCAGAAAGAGCTCAGCAGAAAACTACCATCCAATCAGCTTGACATCACCTATTTGCAAGCTCATGGAGCTTGCAAATTCCCTCCTTAATAATTCCCTCCTTAGGGAGGGAATTATCCAACACCTTATAGAGAACAATCTTGTAAAATCGATGCAACATGTATTTGTTTAAAATAGATCCTGCCTTACAAACCTGCTCACATTTTTGGAAACAGTAACCAACTACTCACACAGGGATTTCTGGTGGATGTAGTATACATGGATTTTGCTAAAGCCATTGATAAGGTGCCACATGATAGAATGGCAAGGAAATTACAGGCACATGGAATAAATGGAAGAATACTAGAATGGATAAAACAATAGTTAACTCTTAAACTGCACAAATCATATATATATGATTTCAGTGACAAAACCGAAATCGTGCAAGTCATATATATATATGATTTCAGTGACAAAACCGAAACCGCGCAAGTCATATATATATATATATGATTTCGTGTCTACAGCACTGTGGAGAAATGCCCGACAGACCACTGGAACATTATCTAACACAGTGCACAGTTACAAACCCATTAAGATTTCAACTTAGATTTAACAGAGCAGAAGAAGTTGTTAAACACGTGGGACAAAATCTTACTGAAGCGACCATACGAGTCATAAATACTCATACTCCGCCCAAGTAAAACAGAAACAAGCAACACTTAGTGGGCCAGCCAGAGGCTTAGGGCCCGCGCAGTGGGCCAGCCAGAGGCTTAGGGCCCGCCCAGTGGGCCAGCCAGAGGCTTAGGGCCCGCGCAGTGGGCCAGCCAGAGGCTTAGGGCCCGCCCAGTGGGCCAGCCAGAGGCTTAGGGCCCGCCCAGTGGGCCAGCCAGAGGCTTAGGGCCCGTGCAGGAATATCCCTGAAAAAAAAAAACTGATATGATTGTCCTGCACACAAAGGGAGATTTTACATAAGTACAGTACATGGTAGATTAAGTAGCGAACGCATGTCAACGAATAACGAGTATATATAACAAAACTAACTTCCAGACATGTATTTTTTAATAAATGTTTTCTGGCTAGTTATGCTAGATTTTATTTAAAATACGTATTCTACTTGTTAACATCATAATTTAAATTTGTGATAATTTAAGCAGAGAAGTGTGACGACTGGATCAGTGTGTACAGAAGGTTAATATGCCAACAAACACTTTCCAGACAATGATATATCTTGGATAAGTCGCTCCACAACATTGACGCTTGGACCGTCGACTTCCTTTGATGCCACTTATTAACTTATTTCATAATGAAATTATATTATTTTGGAGTAAATATATGTTTTCTCATGTTCTGCATTAAGCACCCACATTATCGTGAATAAATATACCATATTACTTCATTACTTACGTAATGCTAGGAGAGTTTGAGTACCTTTGGGTCTTAAGGTGGACAGAATCTCCAATAGATGTGGCAAGTCGCCCCATCTCTTGCCCCGGCAAGTCGAAACAATGTAAAATCGATATATCTTTGTCCTCAAACATGATATATTTCCTTTGGTGCATTCATAATAATGTTTATATCTCGGTCTTTCTGAAGGCATATAAGATTTTAGGCTTTATTAGCGTATCTTTGTTAATTATGCAATATATCGGCAAGTGCGTATGCATCTGCACTCCATGCCCAACAAGCTACTGAAAGCCACTATAAAAACATGTATCTTCACTTGAGCTTTAAATATTTATATTGTAGTGTATTTAAAATAAAGCTTATATTTCTATATTTCTTTAGACATATAAAACATTTGTGTTTATTAACGAATTTACGTAAAATAGACATTGTTCTGAGAGAGTTACTCTGTCGATCAGTCTGTGAGGGGGGTCGGAGCTCGGCGATTATTAAAACACATGAATCTTCATTAGAACTTTAATTATGTCTATGGTAAAGCGTTTAAAATGAGCCTTATATTCCTATCTTTGTTAAGGCATATAGAACGTATATGTTTATTAACGAATTCACGTGAATTAAACATTGTTCTGAGAGTGAGAGCTGCTCCTTCGATCGGTCTGTCCGGGGTTGGAGCTCGGCTATTATAAAAGTACACATATCTTTGCTTTAAATTTAAATATGCACATGGTAGGGTATTTAAAATGAAGCTTATACTTCTATCTTTATTGCGACATATAAAACTCTTACGTTTACTAAAGAACCGGTGTGAAATAGGCATTGTTCTGAGATGAATACTGCGGGTTTTGAGCTCGACGAGCGATGTAAACTGCCACTTTTATACAACTACAAATATCTTCGCTTTTACTTAAAATATTTGTCTGGTAGAGGTTTTATATATAGGTCGCATTTGTCTTTCTTCTGACTAATAAATAATTTTAGTTTAATAAGTTATCAAGATGTTTTCAACAATATTCTTTCGGCGTTCGTCTTTTCCAACATGGGCGACCCTTTTGAAAACGCGATACTTGGGTTAACCCATCCCATAGTTGGGTCAGTTTCCATTATGGTTCGGAACATGCACATCATCCACTATTCCCATCATGAATAACCCACTGCTCTAATGAGATAAACCCACAGCTCTAATGTACAATCCACTGCTCTTATGAACAACCCACTGCTCTAATGTACAATCCACTGCTCTTATGAACAGCCCACTGCTCTAATGTACAATCCACTGCTCTAATGTACAATCCACTGCTCTAATGTACAATCCACTGCTCTAATGTACAATCCACTGCTCTAATGTACAATCCACTGCTCTAATGTACAATCCACTGCTATAATGAGATAACCATTAGCCAAAGTGAGTAGTGATATAAAATAATAATGGCTGACCTCGCCCTTGGCAGCGAGGTCCTTCTTGATCTTAAGAGCCGCCTTCTTGTCCGTCTTGAGAGTCGTCTTCTCCGCCCCCTTCCCCTTCTTCTTCTCCTTCTTGCCCATCTTCCCTCACCTTCGGGAGGCCCTCACGGAAGCAGAAGAGGTGTAATATGGCGGGAACGAAAGCAACTCCAGCAACACGTGCCCAATCAGCTGGAGGTAAATAAACACTGGTCGTCGTTTAGTACACCCGCACCCATGTAGCCGCCGTTCGTAACCCCGACCCAAGCCACGTTTCGTACTTTTGTATTTTTATCGAATAATAATAATAATAATAATAAATAATAATAATATTAATAATAATAATAATAATATCATATCATCATCAATAATAATATAATATAATAATAATAATAATAATAATAATAACTACAATAAAATCATAATCATCATCTACAATAAATTATAAATCATCATCATCATCATCATCATCATCATCATCATCATCATCATCATCATCAATAATAATAATAATAATAATAATAATAATAATAATAATAATAATAATAATAATAATAATAATAATAATAATAATTAATTGTGTCGGAGCACAGCAGGAAGCCATAATAATAGTCTTGCACACTCCCTGCAAGACATTAATTGTGTCGGAGCACAGCAGGAAGCCATAGTGTATTCATACACATTAGTCTTGCACACTCCCTGCAAGACATTAGTCTTGCACACTCCCTGCAAGACATTAGTCTTGCACACTCCCTGCAATACCTCAAATCTTATCTTACTGACAGGCTCCAGTATGTTTCTGTGAATAATTCAATTTCTCCCACCCTACCCATCAACATTGGTGTTCCTCAGGGCAGCATACTTGGCCCTCTCCTCTTTCTCATCTACATTAATGACCTTCCAAATGCCTCCCAACACCTCAAACCAATTCTATTTGCTGACGACACAACCTTCATTTACTCCAGTCCTGACCCCCTTGCTCTAAATGCCACAATAAATACTGAGCTAGAGAAAGTCCATCTTTGGCTAACCGCCAACAAACTCACCCTTAACATTGACAAAACGTTTTATATTCTGTTTGGCAATAAATCCTCTAATCAGATAAATCTCAAAATAAACAATACCCAAATTTGTAACAAATTAGATGGCAAATTCCTTGGCGTTCTCATCGACCACAAGCTGAATTTCCAGGGTCACATTCTAAATATATAAAAAAAAGTTTCAAAAACTGTTGGCATTCTTTCTAAGATCAGATATTATGTACCCCGCCCTGCCCTGGTTACTCTCTATTACTCCCTCATCTATCCATACCTCAACTATGGTATTTGTGCTTGGGGTTCTACTACCCAAAATCATTTACGTCCTCTTATTACCCAACACAAAGCTGCTATTAGGACAATATCCAACTCTAGCCCCACACATCACTCGGTACCCTTACTCAAATCTCTGAATATGTTAGATATTAAGTCACTGCACATTCTCTCTTGTGTATTATACATATATAAAACGCTGAACTGTAATGCCAATCCTGACCTCAAAAGCTTCATAGAAGGTTGAAACAGAACCCATGAGCACCACACCAGAAATAAATACAGTTTTGATATTCCTAGAGTACGACTTAATCATACTAGAAATGCTCTACAAATCAAGGGACCCAGAATGTGGAATGACCTTCCCAACCATGTTAAAGACTGTACCTCTCTCAACCAGTTTAAGATAAAAACTAAACACTACCTAATAAATTCCCTGTAACCTACCTCACTCCTCTATTGTCAACCCATGTCTGTAATTTTTTTTGTTTAATCAACACTGTTTGTCAACCTATTGTATTTGTGCTGCTTTTTCAGTCATGTTCCCCCTTTTTTTTTATCTTTATTTGTATTTGTTCTCAACACTTTTTATTCTTTATGCTCAATTAGTATTAAGTTCTAGATATTAATGTTTTTCTTGCCCGAAACGCATTGCGTAATAGTGGCTTTAGGCATTGTATGTACTAGCTCTATCTATATATATCTTATATCGAGGTCCCCCCACCCCCCTTACAGTGACGGGTCGGTGGCGGAGGATGGCAGGGCAGGGCAGGGTGTGGTGTCCTAATAACAATAACTACTAACTAATAACTACTATGACTAATAACAATATAATTAACCACCTTGTCACCTATTGCGGGCTAAGTAACCAATGTCTCTTTGTTTCACTTTTTTAAATTAAATTTTAATTTAATTTATATTAGTCATTTACTGGACTTAATTTATTGAGTGCATTAATATTTTCTTTAGTTCTTATTAATTATAGGATCATAACTAAACTATTTATAGTTAATAATCATTAGAGTAAATTTGCCTATGTTTATTTTTCAACTTTTTTCTTCGCTTTCATTATTACCAAGGTTGCCTAGCCTCGCCATACTCCCTTACTCCATTGTACCCCTGGCTTTGCCTGTGTCTCAAAATGCAAATAATTACTTACAGTGTACCTGAGAGTACTTGTAAGCAATCTACCTCATTTTTTTTTTATTTCGTGTTTGTCTTGTATAGTCTTAGTTTATATTTATATCTTTCCCCCTTTTTAGTTAGTTTAGTTCATTTATTATGCACCCCAAACCCATCCCGTGGGCGGTAGTAGAAAGGGTTACAGAGGCACATAATGGGCTCAGGGACTGAACCCCACAATTCATTTAGCTAAGCAAGTTACAATCTTGATGAGCTAGTTACAAAATTCAATATAAGTCGTCACATCAACAATGGGTTCGAGATCGATCTCAAGTACAGGTTCTAAATTAAGCAACTGACATATGTGGAGAGCTAGTGTCACAATTTATATGTTTGTCCCGTGTAACCTTGGATTGTCAATGAGCAATCTGAGAGCAGCAGTACACCGAGAACTTCAACAAGATCTTGTAGATCTGAGGCAAAGTGAAATTGACACCAGTAATTCCATCTATCATCATACTATCATGCAAGAGGAGCCACACATCTATGGATCATCCAATAAAATCAGCAGACTTCTAGATGTTACTACTGCTCGGCTTAGACTCGGTTACAAGTATCTCTGGGAATTCTCATTATCTGCTGATGTAGACCTGACCAAATGTAAACTGTGTCAACAAAATTATTCGCACACCCTCCGTCACTATGTGATGGAGTGCGAAAAGATACGTGAATTTAGAGACAATTCTATAACCAATGTTCCAGCGATGTGTCAATATTTCATTCAAAATGATCTGCTACCACAGTACTCTGAGAGAGAACTCTATTAACATCAGAGGTCCGAGACTATTCAACACGCTTCCACTACACATAAGAGGCATAACTGGCCGACCCCTCACAGTGTTCAAGAGAGAACTGGATAAGCACCTCCCAAGGATACCTGATCAACCAGGCTGTGACTCGTACGTCAGGCTGCGAGCAGCCGCGTCCAACAGCCTGGTTGATCAGTCCGGCAACCAGGAGGCCTGGTCGACGACCGGGCCGCGGGGACGCTAAGCCCCGGAAGCACCTCAAGGTAACCTCAAGGTAAGGTACCAGAAATTTTAGCCAAATATCCCCAGTTTGCTAACTGTAGGTAGTAACTAAGTGATTGTAACCTATCCACCGCTGTCCACTGGATGGGGGGCGGTGTGCAGGACAAACATATCAATTGTGACACTAGCTCTCCACATATGTCAGTTGCTTAATTTAGAACCTGTACTTGAGGTCGATCTCGAACCCATTGTTGATGTGACGACTTATATTGAATTTTGTAACTAGCTTATCAAGATTGTAACTTGCTTAGCTAAATGAATTGTGGGGTTCAGTCCCTGAGCCCATTATGTGCCTCTGTAACCCTTTCCACTACCGCCCATAAGATGGGTATGGGGTGCATAATAAATGAACTAAACTAACTAACTAACTGTCCTGCACACCGCCCCCCATCCAGTGGGCAGCGGTGGAGAGGTAATGACACTATTGCAAATGAAGGTATCTTTGTAATATATTGCTGTACCGCCACCTTTTTTGTTAGGCCTGCAGTTATGAATGGCTTTATAACCAGCTAAATTGTAGAGTTGGGTATAGTCATTACTTAGCCAAGTTTCCGTTAAAATGATGAGAGATAATTTAGTACCTAGTGCTGTAAGTAGTGCATTTATATCATCAAAATGTTTGCCAAGTGACCTAACATTTTGGTTGTAAACTGATAAGCAGGTGCTATTTAGGAGTTTGTTTTTTGCAAGATTTGCTGTGTAATACCTGCAATAATGATGATCAATGTGCTGATTAGTGTGGATATGGGACAGAAGATTTCGATCAGGATCAATATCAGTAAGCATATAGATAAGAATGTCACGATACAATTAGATAAGCAATTACAGGAACAGATGAAAACTAAATCTGCTGTAAAATAGAAAGTTATTATAGCAAAACACAACAATATAATAATATAACAATACAATAAGAGCTTACAAAGTATTGAGTCTGCTAAAATTAGAGAATAATTATGGCAAAACACAACAATAAATGCAAGTAAACAAAAGAATTGAAACAATTAGAGGTAGAATTAAGGTCACTAGATAGCCATGGAGGATACAAAAGTTTGGTGGAGAGAACAAAAAATCAGTAGAGACTGACAAGATGAATATATAAAAAAATTTGACAAATGATAATTGTAAAGTAAAATAATCTTAAAGATAATAAATTTTATTTAGCTTAGTTTTAACCTATAATTAGTATGAACTTAATTAAAAGAACAAAAATGAGATCAATAATTGATTTCAATAAATGACATAGGTCAATACAAATAAATTTAAAATATAAATGGAATAGGGTAAGATTAGATTTAAGAGTAAAATTTTACAATGAAACTGAGGTAGATGCTTGCATAAGTGCATGGAGACTTGATGGATTATTTAGGAAATTATATGAATGAGAGAACATTAGGCAAATGGTAAGGCAGAGACAGCACCTTAGACAAAGTTAGATTAAGTTAGGTTAGGCTCAGGCACTGAAAGAGTTATTTTAAGTAGTGGCATTGGTCGGGTTCAGGTTTTCAGATATACCACAATCACTTAAGAAGGCCAGGAGTTGTTGGTCACATTTTATTTCATATCTTTTTCCAGTACTTTCCTTCTTCGCAAAAATCGTTCCATTCCTAGTGTAGCACTGCTTGATAAGACCAGTACGATCACTATGGCAGTATATTCACTCACAGGATGAGTGACGCTGCGCAATACGATCAC